CAAAATATTTATAATTTTTAAATTGATCACATGGCTCAAAAACTACAAGTCTGATAAAATTGGCAGAGAGCATTCTTCTACTCCGATAAAATTTAACCAACGCAAACACCGACTGAAAAACGGAACTTCTTAGATCATAGATTCCCGCTTCCGTTGTGGATCAACCAGTATATATTTATTTTTAATCAAAACTTTTCCTTGATCTTTATGCTGTAGATTAAAATTGCCTGCAACAGAAATTTATAAAAGTTAAATTTCATCTAGTCTAGAGGAAATTTTAACACACTTTTAAAATTTTATTCACGATTACATATTAACAATAGATACCTAAATAATTATTATGAATCATCAAATACAGTCTACGTATAATATTATTATTTTACCTAACAGAAAAACTGTTGAAATCACTTATAGGATATAGCGGGAATCGTGCTGGGACTGTCAGATAAGGCTTACGTGACCTTTGTCCAGTATCTGCTTGTGTGAGGTGTTCCTTTCTCAGTAAGCCCGTTATTTCAATGGTAACGACCTAACTCAAAAACTGGTTATAAATCTAAAGCTGTTGAAATTATAAATACTTAAATATATTTTAATAGAAGTTGTCTCAAAACGACTACAGTATTGTTATGATATTCGAAGGTAATTAATGTATAAATCAAATATGTTACCATTAATTCATCGTACACTTTATGTTGGTTGGAGTACATTCGTCTGGAACATTCGTCTGAAAATGAGAAATTTTTTATTAAATAGAAGAAATAATTAAACAGAACTTGCTTCAATTCTTATACCTCATCCTACAGATAAAAGGGCTTTGAAACAAAAGGGTACGTATCTTAGTAATACGATATTTAACTGTTTTTATAACGTAAGAAGTAAAAGAGTTTCATATAATAGTAGTTTTAAGGCTTTCACAGCTCGTGCTAATATTGAAAGTAGGCTTTTCGGGTTGTTGTTACAGACTTATATTGCGCTTTCATAGCCTTAGCTGGAAATGTTTGAGCTACCGTTGTTGGGTAGCCCCCACGGTGTTCATTACATTTCTCATTATTGGTTCTGAGCCGCTGCAGACGGACCTTTCTTCAGGTAACGGTGGTCCTCTGAGACCTTCCGTAATGGCCTCTATAATGCCCCCAAACGTATCGCCCTTTTTCATTGCAAGCATTTTTAGTGGTGACTCCACAAAAACTCCGCCCGTGCCAATATCCTTGACAGAATTTATGACCTCGGATGGAGTGGGGTCGAGCGGGATTATCGCTCTTTACCCACCTCATCGTTGTAGGCTCGGACGCCTAAAAGCTCTGTTGCGACAACGTCAACGGTTTTATAGTGTCAGTGTCGTTGAGCACTCATCTAGGCCTGGGCAATATAATGGGAGATTCCGTTTGCGTTGACAATGACATCAGTACTGGTACGTGCCTGTAGACGTTAAGAGAGGGTAGACGGGTACGTTCCCCGTATGGCGTACTCATTTAGTACGCAGTATAGTAGTGGGAGTTGGATGAGAGGCCTCGAAGTACAAGTCTGTAATTGGCGATGACCAGGTACATAAAAAAATCAAAAACCGTTCATTTAACTGATCAGTACATAAGTCTTTCTTTTATTTTCTTATCTTTTCAACAAAAAAAAAGAGAATAATAAAAGTATTGTTGATAGTTGTCTAAAAATATTAACATTTACAAACAGAACTCTCGAAGAATAAATGTTTCGACTCTTCTTGGTCATATACTAAATTTTAGTGAAGACAGGAGAAAACTAATTACATAAAGCATCCCCAGCACACAAATCAATAAACCACTAAAGGCGCATATTCAATCAACCAACCTGAGCATTATTCCCATGGAAAACTCTTTCAGTCTTTCATTAATCTCTTACGATTTTTAGTCTGTTAGCCGAGAACGAAGACAAATGTACTTCTCTTGAAGTTTTCTCTACATTAACTTTGCTGCTACAGATTTACAAAGTGCATTTGCTAGACCTAATTCTAACGGTAATAGCAACACTTTTGGAAAGTTATTGTATATTATAATACGATGGTCATTATAAAAATGTGTTTAAGAAACATAATAATAACTTAAAAATTCGAAATGTAATTTACTATAAACGAGCGATTAAAGCATTTTAAGAAAGAAAAAATATTATACAGGATGTTCTCAAAGTTGATTTATTTTAACAGCTGGTAGAACTCATAAAAAAGTCGATTTACCAAAATAAAAGTTGTCAAATAAAGCAATTATTATAAACAATTGCTTAATACAATTGAAATTTGAAAACTATAATACAAACCTGATTTATTGTTATTTTCGACCACTCCGTTGTAAAAACATAAATTGTTTGTTTACTACTGATACTGGGTATGTCTTTTTTTGTATTTGCAGGGTTGAGTACGCTTTTCGATTTAAAAGTGCTAAATAATTTGTACAGTAGTATGTGATATTATTTTTTATTTGTGGGTGTTTTGTGCAATAAAAATGGCACATGTTTATGAAAATAATGAACTAGGAAACATAATATTAACTTACGGGGAGTGTCAACTAAATGCAGCCGCAATATGTCGCTTGTATGCGGAAAGATTTCTTTCTCTGCGGATGTTTGTAAATTTAGTTAAGACTCCGCGACACAGGGTTTTTAAAGGAACAACGAGGAGGTCACGCTGTCAAGTTGCTATAGACAACGGAAGGCAAGTGAGGTAACTTACCTCCATAGGAAAAAAGTGATTTCGAGTTATAAGTGCATATTTTATGAACAAATAAATAGAAATATTTGATTAACATTACATTTTTTTAATTATTATGAATGAATATTACATACACATTACAGTTATTACATTTAGTAACATTTATAACATCTGTATAATTATTCCCCTCGCGTTTACTAATTGTCACATTTTTCTCAAAATGATTTGACCGCTCCATTTCAGTCACCAGAGGCTCAATATTATCTGACTGATCTATTAAAACAACATGATGCGAATACTACTAGAACCTGGAGTTAAAATGTCGTTGTAAAGAATCCTGTTGGCTATTTCATTTTTGTTACGTAAACTGTCAGCAACATAACATTCTGCAATTGTGGCTGATTTCCATCCACCATGTCTCTTGATTGCTAATACATCAACTCCTGTATTAGGCAGTAATGTTGCCGATGTTCTTCGGAATGAATGGCCTGTATATGTTTCAGGATGTTCTAGTTTCAAAAACTGTGCAATCTTATGAGGAATATTAGGGTATTCTTGCCGACTGATTGGTTATAACATCTACCTGCTTAATAACGGATAAACAGGCGTGAAATTTCAGTTTCAATTTCCAATCTAATCTTGATATATTTCTTGAGAATTTTTAGGTGAGAAACAGAATCCAGACGAGAAGTAATTGTAAATGTACGTGACATACCATTTTTAGAATCTGGAATTGTAACTACAATAATCTCATCGAAATTTTTGAAATTGACATTGTCCAAAGTAAGTTTGCATAACTCATCAGAACGGCATGCTCCTGCAATGCCTAGCCTCTGAGAGTACTGAAAGGTAACCGAGAGACAAGTACAATAAACTAAATTTAAAAGATGGGCTGCGGGACACCTTTGTGGAAATTCAATTTTCCTTTTCAAAAAAATAATGTGTACAGCGACGTATTTCTCACTTATGCCATGTTCATGAGTTGAAGAGAAGTATCGATTTTATCGCAAAATTTTTTTGGCATAAGGGTCACAAGGGACCTAAAAATGGAAAACTTTGTAAGAGAATGTGAAAAACATCTTTATTTGTCTACCAATTTCTCATTAATGCCAATTAAAAATATGACATTATTATATTCGAAAAGCTCATAAAAAACATTGGCATAAGTCCTACTAAGGACTAAAGAAAATAGAGCTTTGGAAAAGCGCTAGGAAAAGAAAATTACATTTTCACATAGCGGTTTTTTCCATAATCTTACTTGTCTCTAATGTATCTTTCAGTATCCTAAAAGGCATAAACGAGAAAGACGTCGTTGAACTTCTACGAGTATCGCCCGGTCTATTGGGGTATTTTGATATACCTACGTTCTCCTCTATGAAAATAGTTGACTTAATCATTGAGTATTCATTCCACAAACTCGTCGGTGACTTTAAAGTTCTTGACTTCTCCATGAAATATGCCAGCAGTGAATGCAGCGATATTTCACTAGTATTTTTCTTCTGGTACCAGTCTTTGAAATTTTTATATGCTCGTCCGTAGCGCACTTTCGACTTCTCGGGCAATAAAAATTTGCAGGCAGCGTTTGCTGCAATTTCTATTTGAAAATCACTCATTTAGAAATAACAATTCAAAACCGGCAAAGTTGCAACCTTAAAAACGACAAAATCCAAACAACCAAGGTGACTTCGCAAGATTTCGAATAATGTCAAAATGAATCGATTAAGAAATGTCGAAAAATAAAACTTAATCTTTATTTCATGAACCATAAAGAACTGTGGGAGCAGATAAAATGTTATACACCACGCAGCAGTTAAGTATAATTTACCAGTCTCGACTGATAAATAATACTTACCTCGTTTATGGTGTAAATAATTATAAAGTCACATTTTTTGCAGCAGCTACTAGCTCTGGTAATGTCCCGGACACCTGAAATATTTTAGCACATTTAGGTATTAAAATGAATAACAATATCACAATAATAAATAAACAATGATTGTCAAGGAAACGATTTCATAAGCAATTAGATTGTAATGAAGAAATGTTGGGTATCCATTAATAAAAATTGCTTAGTTCATATTAATTAATTAATATTGTTTGCGAGTTCAGAAAATATAGTATGAGTTTGTCAGCTTAAGAAGTAATTAATATTAAATTGATTATTATTAAAGTTATACCCTGTATAAATATAATATAGTTTTGCAGTCGCTGTTCAGACTCACCGTTTTTAGACCTTCAAACCGTTTCAGCATACATCAATCCATTACGCCCACACCAATAGAACGACTGCTTGTACTTCCACCGTATGACACTAATTGTGTTTCAGCGCTGCTGTACGCTACGATCTTCGGTCACGTGACGACCATAATTCAACAGATGACATCTGCCACCGCGAAGTACCACGACATGCTGAACAACGTCAGGGAGTTCATGAAATTACACGAGGTCCCAAAGGCGCTGTCGGAACGCGTCATGGATTATGTGGTGTCGACGTGGGCCATGACGAAGGGCCTGGATCAGGATAAGGTCTGTGTGTCATTTCTTGTTGTGCATTTCCGTAACAGGTTTCACTTGAAAGATAAATCGATATTAGCCAAAAAGGTAATGTAGAATGAATGAGTTTTTAATTTTAATCCTCTCCGGAGGGTGCGAATGTAAAAGTATAACAAATTATGAAATTATGCGGTGAGTCTCGAAATAAAAGAGTGAAATTATGTAAATTGTTGATTAAAAGTTGATGCTTAAAAGAAATTAAAAGGATAATCTTATCCGTTCACCATCACCACAAACTTGTTATTAGTGAAATTACAAAGTCGTTTAAAGCAGCTGTAATATTTCTTCTGTCGATAACAATTTAACGTCGCCGTCGTAGGAATTTAAAAAAAATAACTTTTTTGATAAGAAACTGTACATTTTTACATAATTGGATAAAACGGCAATCTTTTTGTTCTGTTCGTTAGAATTAATCTAGGAATAGAATGTGGAAGTACAATTTAAAAAATATTTTTAAAGAACCTATCTACCTAAATAACTTAAAATGTTTTGAGAAGATCTAGAATCAGCATAAAATAAGTATTTTTCATGATTGGTATACAAAGACACATACCGTATCCGAAAAATAAGGTGAATTACTTATTTAAAAATCGCGGGTATTAGGAAAGCATACATTTTTTGTAGGTTGGTAATACTGTCCTTGATATCTATGCAGAGGTTCATGTCCACGGTCCGTAAAGAGACGGCCGCCCCATAAGTCAATTAGCCAATAAAAAACAAATACGTCACCAAATTCCTCAGTTTATCTTCGTTCAACCGTCATCTCTTTCTGACTCATTGCATATCCCATAAGAAAATAAGAGGTAAATTTAAAATTGTCACTTTTCTTGTACCACGCTCCTTTTAACATAAGATAATAAATTCAGTCAGTTATGATTATGGTTAATTAACAGGTATTTTGTGTCTAAAATTCTACCTTTATATACAAAGTGAACCTCTACATTGGAATTTGAAAATAAAAGGATGAAATGTGAAATTGTCTTGAATACACACCACGACCGGTCACCAATTTTGACGTTTGGTTACATAATTAACCTAAAATTTGTGTTAATTTTATTACAAATAAAGAGGGGAAGTGAATATAAACAATTTAGATCTATCTTAATATTCTCTTGGCTCCAAAATAAAAACAGTGTACAATTTATATGATCTTATTGTATCTGCTTNATTAAAAGTTGATGCTTAAAAGAAATTAAAAGGATAATCTTATCCGTTCACCATCACCACAAACCTGTTATTAGTGAAATTACAAAGTCGTTTAAAGCAGCTGTAATATTTCTTCTGTCGATAACAATTTAACGTCGCCGTCGTAGGAATTTAAAAAAATTTAACTAATTTTGATAAGAAACTGTTCATTTTTACATAATTGGATAAAACGGCAATCTTTTTGTTCACATTTCTTTTATTATTAGAGGCCCAAGAAACCTTATAGTATTCTGTTCGTTAGAATTGATCTAGGAAAAGAATGTGGAAATACAATTTAAAAATTATTTTTGATTTTTAAACACCCTGTATATAAAAGTATGAGGAGAATGTTTTTCAAAAAAGAGTAGGCCCCGTTCGAGAAAAGAATAATAAAAGTTTGTTCCAAACTTCCAAAAAGGCATCTGGTTAGTAAATATAAAATTTTTCATCCAAAGACTACGTAGGTAAGGCAGAAATGGTAAAAAAATTTATTAAGACATCTGCTTGATAAATATACAAACTTTCATTAAAATACTGTAGTAAATAGACAAAGCTAAAAGTGTAACGAAATAAAAGTGCCCTTAATTCTATAGAACACCTAGTATATGGATTTTTAAAAAGCGACTTTTCTTCAAAAGATTAACAAAATGAATAAGGGAAAATCTGCTACACCTGTGTCAGTTTTATGGAACATCCTGTACATAAATTGCAATGAAGACCTGATTAGTCGGGTTTTTCATAAAAATATTGCAGACTTCAGTACAAAACATAGAAAAGGAAAAAACATTAAGGAAAGTTTCATTCTATTGGTCATAAATACTCAGTATAAAAATTCAAAAAGACAACTGCTTAATAAGTATACAATTTTTCATTAAAAGACTTTAGTAAATAAAGACAAAGTTAAAAGTGAAAAGGATAAAAATTGCCCGTTTCAGATATGGATAAATTTTATGGAACACTCAGTACATATATGGATTTTCTAAAAAGCGGCTGGCCAGTAAATATACAACTTCAAAAGATTTCATGAAAAAATTAACAAAATGAATCAGAGAAAGTCTGGTCCATCTCTGTCAGTTTTATCAACAAAGGATTGAGTCATGCATTGCAAACAAGGCGGTGGTCACATTGAGCAGCTTTAATAATTACACTGTCATTACGCTTTTATTAAAATAAACCACATTTTTTTTATCGCTCTAGTCTCAACAATGTAATGTACTCTTCAGCAACGGTTGGGAATTTGGGAAAAGTGACAAGAATGATTTTTGCTTAAAATTGGTCATAGAATTCATATAAGTATCTCGGATTCAGCGGCCACCCTGTATAATACGAAAAAAATTGTAAGATTGTTTCTCGAACACTAAAACGAATCGACCTCCTGAAAAATCGCTAACAAAACTTTGAGACCGGCATGTAATTTTTCAATTGCACTTGAACGTTTTCCAGGTGTTAAACTTCTGTCCCAAGGATATGAAGGCGGACATCTGCGTTCACTTGAACCGGAAAGTCTTCAATGAACATCCCGCTTTCCGCCTAGCATCAGACGGCTGTCTAAGGGCGCTTGCAATGCACTTCACCATGTCGCATTCGGCACCGGGGGACCTGCTGTACCACACCGGAGAATCCATAGATTCGTTGTGTTTCATCGTCACAGGATCACTGGAAGTGATACAGGACGATGAAGTGGTCGCTATATTGGGTAGGTGCAATCTCTTTTTCTTTTTTCTGAACATTTGAAAACTGATTTGAAAAGAGGAAATACTTTTTTATTTTTCATTTTATGGGAAAAATACATAATCATTGTTCAAAAATGTTGCCTCTGTTCAAATATATTCTTGTATGCAACTGTTTGCGTTTGTATTTAGGAATGCAGAGCCTTTCTGCCAGCATTAGCGAGTAAAGGAACTATTCGAGAATACAACAGAGATTTAACTATTGTGTATCAAATAATATTTTTTCGGAAACTTCTTCGATAACATAACAAGCAGAAAATGAAATGAAAAATATGTCTCTCGAAGTATCAAAAGCGACAGAGAGTCGCAACTTATTCCTCAGAAATCTGCAAAACAATATGAAACAGCTTATACTGTGACTTCAAAAAATGGTGTACTGAAAGGAAAATTAAAATTACATTATGTTAGTTTTTTGAAATTGTAAAAGTGAAACCTGCAACATTATAGTCAATTTACTCTATATTAAAATGTAAATACTGAAGATAGTAAAAAATGTTCTGAAAACTAAAGCGCTTTTTGAAAAGTAGATTGGTGAATAGTAGAAATCGAAGAATTTATATGAGGACGTTTTAGTTTCTCTATGATGTATTAGTGTCAAATTATTTTGATACTCAGCATTTATGGAGCTTGTAGAAGAGATGATCTACTAAATATAATAGTACAAATTGTAGAAGTTAAAAGGTATGTTGTTATTATTAAAACTTGACAAGAACATTCTCAAGATACCATCTGTCAATTCAGATTGCGTATCATATCAAAAATACTCGACTTTGCTAAGTTAACTAAAATTTGAAGATTTTTCATTGCTATGATAACCTGAAATGTGCCAATCAAGTGGTGAATGTTAATAAAATAAGAAGCACTTGAAGATACATTCATATTTGAAATTCGGAAAATCGGAAAGACTATACGGGTCACTGTTTCAGACACTTTTCTGGGACAATTTTAGCTGATTCTGAGGGACACATAATCTCCATCAAAGACATTTGGTAGGAAGTCTACTACAGGCTAAAACGTACATTGAAAATAAAATTTAAATTTCAAATAGAATATCTTCAATCGTTGTTAAAATTCCTGATTTCCTCTAATAAGTAGTCATAGTATTGAGGGTGTTTCATTTAAAATAAGCAAGTTAATGGCGACTTCTGGTATAATCGGAAGTGGTACGTGGACGCCATTATTTTATTTGAGAAGGGCATGCCCGAAAATCCGGTATCCCAAATTTTCAAAATTCAAATCGAAGTAGTCTCTGAAATAATTCTAATAGGCCGTCACCGTGAGACACACGGTATAAAGACAATATCTGCGTACTATTTGGTTGTAAATAAATGCATTTTTTATTTAGCACTTGAACGCTAAGCGAATGAATGAATAACCAAAATGACACAAATAATAATTATTGTTATACTTAATAACCATCTTTTTATTTATCATGCGACTTTTATTGAAATGTGAAATTATATTTTATAAAATGCTTGTAATTTCTAAACAAAATCGAATCATATAAGAAAGAAATGTTTGAAATTAATATAGGTAAAGTGCCATTTTTATATAAGATCAAAAAAATATATCAGCAAATAAAGTTCAAAATTAAAATTTTTCACATGTCCCATTTGGAAGCAATTGGCTTACTTTGATTTTTTCAATTTCTATATCCTGTGTAAAGGATTTGACAAATTATTTGATGACAAATTAGAACTTGCTTAAAATTACATTTTAAATTTTGTATATTTATCGATTTGATTTTGCAATTCAGTGATTTTCAAATATAAAAAAAAATATAGAAACTGGTCGGTTGCCATATATGTTTCTTAATAAAATATTTCAATATATTTTAGGAAAAGGACACTACTTACGAAAACATATTTTCTCCTTCTAATTTCTCAATGATGAAAGTATTTAATAAAAATTAGGTATAAGAACAATATTTTATCAAGATGTCAAATTTATGCACTTATGTTTCATTGACACTTATGTCTTTGATTTTTTATTTGATTACAAAGACTATAAATAATATACAGAGAGTTTCAGGATCAAGTCGACAAACTTTAAGGATATTTCTCATAAAAAAAAATAAGAAAAAATCAAGTATAATTTTTCCAGAGACGCTTCATTTTCGAAATATAGGGCGTTAAAGATTTTTAAAAAAATTCGAATTTTTTAATTAATTTCTAAATGAAGAAGGCTATTTAAGCCAAATTTGGCATGACACATCTTCCTATAAGATACCATTTTTCCATAAAAGTAGAAGTTCCGCAAGCAACCAGTGGCGGAGTTATGGAGACTCAGACTCATTAAATTATAAAAAAAATTAATACGGCCCTACTGAAAATAAAAGATTATGCTGTTTTTATATAGAACAGTGTGTTATTGACAAAATGTGTACATTCACTTTTTTCCTAATTCTTATAGTTTCATGGCAAAATTGATTTTTCGGAAGGGTGCTTCTGGATTCTGTCGATAAACTTTAGGAAGGCGTTCCTCATAAAACCTAAAAAAATATAGTACCTATTAAAATTGGTCTTCATCTTCATCTTCATCTTCATCATCTAGTGGTTGGTTCTTTAAAAGTCCCATAGCACTGCGGCCTAATTAGGCCTATTGTGCGTCCCACTACTAGTCCTATTCAGCAAGTAGATTTGTCCTTTTTACAAAGTCCAAAAGCTTCCTTGCTGACACNAACTCTTATAGTTTCATGGCAAAATTGATTTTTCGGAAGGGTGCTTCTGGATTCTGTCGATAAACTTTAGGAAGACGTTCCCCATAAAACCTAAAAAAATATAGCACCTATTAAAATTGGTCTTAGTCTCGAGTATGTGTGAGTCAAATAAGCCTTTTTGTCTCCCCTTCCCTTGGGTTTAACCAATAGTATTAAAATTATTTAGGAGATGCTTCGTTTTTGAGATATAGGGTGTTTTTTAGAAAAAAAAATGATGAAGACAAAAGAAATATTTATGTACCTAACATCTAATATGACTATGTCGTAATGCGACAACGTAACGACCCATGCAATACTCCTAAATGTTTTCAGTAGGTTTGTAGTCACTTCATTTACTTGTGTTGTGTACTTTTAAATAAAATAAGATGGCAAACAATACATGAAAATTTATTTGTAAATTGAAACAACCAAAAAATTACCAATTAATATTATACCTAGACAAAGCGAAAAGTGAATCAAAAATGAAATGATTTAAAAAATATTTTGTTCAAAATGGGCGCCTCCGGACTGTAGACAAGCACGACATCATCTAATTAGGGATGTAGTGGCCGATCGACACAGAATTGGAGTTAATTCTCGACACGCTTGGACTTCTAGAATATCAACTGGCACCTCGTAGACTTTTTGTTTAACAGCACCCCAAACGAAATAATCCATCGGTGTCAAGTCCGGTGAACGTGCGGGCCACGCTGCAGGTCCTCCACGACCAATCCATCTCCTGGAATAATTAATGTTCAACCACTCCCTAGGACCTCTACCAAAATGGGCAGGACAACCATCTTGTTGAAACCTACTGTTCATTCGAGTATTAAGTGGAATATATTCCAACAGATTTTGAAAACCATTTTCAAGAAACTTGGTAAACATGTCAGCATTTAACCGATGCGGATGAAAGTAGGGACCAACTATAGTGTTGTCCAACACACCCAACCATACGTTATATTGGAATTCATGCTGAAAACGATTTTCCCTTATCGCCCGTGAATTCTCGTAGGACCAAATATAGTTGTTCCTTTGGTTTAAAATTTCCCTTTGAGTAAGCCTGCATCGTATGTCCTGAGGCAATAAATGTTGCACACGCTGGATATGGTACGTATGGCCCATGGCGTCCATCAGCCCGAAGAGTCCTCCAAATGGAACTTAACGAAATACCTAGCTCATAGCTAGATATTCTGACACTCGTGGATGGATTTTCATCGAAATGGTTTAAAATAGTATTCGATCTTACTTCGTTCTGAAGTGGGGCAAAATGTCCATCAGCATAAGTTGGAATACCGAAAGACCCAGTTTGTCTGAGAGGACTGAATGTCGTTGAAAATGTTTTCTTTGCTGGTAGTCTGCGATGAGGAAATCTTACTGCATATTCGCGGCGAGCCGCCCTGTTATTTCCATCACAAAAACCATATACAAAGACCATATCAGCATATACATTGTTCGAAAATATGGACGGCATTATAAAAGTTGTTTTTATTATTAGTTTGAACGCTTTATCTAATGGATAATTTATGCAACAATTCGCAAAATAACATTTAAAACGTCAAATTAACATTGCTTGATAGCGGCCTACTCGAAAATATTTGTTGAGGTTCATTTTAGTTTATCAACAGAATCCAGAAGCACCCTTCCGAAAAATCAATTTTGCCATGAAACTATAAGAGTTAGGAAAAAAGTGAATGTATACTTTTTGTCAACAACAAACTGTTCTATCTAAAAATAGCATCATTTTTTATTTTCAGTAGGCCCGTATTAATTTTTTTTATAATTTAATGAGTCTGAGTCCCCATAGCTCCGCCACTGGTTGCTTGCGGAACTTCTACTTCTATGGAAAAATGGTATCTTATAAGAAGATGTCTCATACCAAATTTGGCTTAAATAGCCCTGTTCATTTAGAAGTTATTTAAAAAATTCGAATTTTTTTAAAAATCTTTAACGCCCTATATTTCGAAAATGAAGTGTCTCTGGAAAAAAAATTATACTTGATTTTTTTCTAATTTTTTTATGAGGAATATCTCCTTAAAGTTTGTCGACTTAATCCTGAAATACCCTGTATGTGAATATTTTGCCAGATATTACCATCTAATATAATTTGTATCAACTTATAAATTTCCCGCTTCCCCTGCAAACTTTTTGTCGGACCCTGTATGTGGACAATTCGTATAATTATTGCCAACTATTGTCCTGTACCTACTATCAAATTTCTCTTATCGTTTTAGGAATTGCAAGAAGCCGTTTAATATCAAGATTCCTTACAAATATCGTTCAAGGTCTTTTTATTGATTTTTACAGTTGACCAAAAACCACAGTATAATATTTCAATTTTTTCCAGGAAAGGGTGACGTGTTCGGGGATTCTTTTTGGAAGGACAACGCGGTGGGTCAGTCTGCCGCGAATGTGCGCGCTTTAACTTACTGTGATTTACATACTATAAAGAGGGACAAGCTCCTAGAAGTATTAGATTTTTATCAAGCTTTCGCAAATAGTTTCGCGAGGAATCTGATCCTTACCTACAACCTTCGGCACCGGTTGATTTTTCGGAAAGTGGCGGACGTGAAGAGAGAAAAGGAGTTGGCGGAGAGGAGGAAGAACGAGCCCCAGCTAGATCAGAACCAGGACCATTTGGTCAGGAAGATTTTCTCTAAGTTTCGAAGGGACAGGAGCCAGCACGTTGCGGCTCCGGCCACCACGACCCAGTCGGATGTCGAAAAAGGTGAGGACAGTAATGACAAAGCCATCTCAAGGGTCATGTCGACCACGAAACTGTCATCCGTGGCCGAGAAAGACGACAGTAGTGGCGGTGGCGTTAAAACTACAGTTGCCAGACCAGCTTCAGGTAGGTACTTTGTAGTTAACAGAACGATTCCATCGGTATTAAAAACATTTGAAAAGAAAGCAAATTAGCGGTTTGAAAAATTCAATGAAAGAATTACATGCTGAATAAGTGCAAATGAAGGTTTAAGATGTTCACTACTGTTATCTAAATGATCTCTATCTACTGCTACTTAAAATTACTGAGAGGGGCATATACGAGGTCTATTAAGAAAATAACCAAACTTTATTTTTTTCAACTATATTATTAATTTTATTCATTATTGGTCAGTGATCTGATTGACAAAGCTGAGTGTGCGGGCGCATTGTCATGATGCAAGGACCATGAGTTGTCTCGCCACAACTCTGGTCTCTTTTTGCGGATTTTTTCACGTAATCGTTGTAAACCGCCTTGATAGTACATACGGTTCACTGTTTCACCTTGAGGCAAGAATTAAAAATGCACAATTCCATTTTAATGTGGAAAAAAGGTGTCGAGTTTGACGTGCTTCCTTGGGGCGGGCGGGCGTAGAGACCATTTACCAATCCATTGTGATGATTGAACTTTTGTTTCAATGTCACAGCCGTATACCCAGTTTTCTTCTCCTTTTATGACCCTTTCAATGAATGTTCCGTCGTCATTGGATTGTTCAAGGAATTGCCAACAAACGTTCACACGATTTTCTTTCTGTTGTCGGTCATCTAAATGCTGCTACTCGATTCAGGTCCAACTTTTCAGTCAAAATTTCGTGGCATGACCCAATTGAGATGTTAACCTCTTCTGCAATCGGCTTTGACTTTTTGAACGTTGGATCAATTGAAGTCGAACGCCTTTCTGATAGAGGATTATCTTCAATTAACCGACGATCACTTTTAAATCGTGAAAACCAATCGAAACGTTACTTACAACCCAGAGCATCATCTCTGCAAGCCTGTTTAAAATGTTGAAACATTTCCGGAAAAGTTTTCCCCAGTTTCACGCAAAATTTTACGTTGCATCGTTGTTCCAGAAAATCGCACATTACAAAAATCATCACTAATTCTTAAACGCATTAAACACTCAAATCATGAAAACTACATGAAATATCAGTAATCTAAGACAATGTCGTTACAGAGTAGGTTATGCGCAACGAAATGCTGCCAACCACATATCAAATATTTCCAAAGGGAGCGTAATTCAAAAAGTTAGGTTATTTTCTGAACAGACCTTGTATATTCAGTTGTCTTCACAAATACCAAAACATTTCGTAACAATGTGTTTTAAAACTATTACTATGAAGATATCTTATTAAGATATCTATCTTATTTGAATTGTTCATATAGGTACATTATCAGACACAAATCTGTTTATGTTCATATTCGTTTATTATTATAAATCACAATACACAGATTTTGAATAGAATAAGTAATTGAAGTAGTTGCGTTTCATTCTATTATGAACATGGCAATTTTTACTTTACTTTAAAGGTTTAAGCTGATTGAAACTTTTCTAAAAAGTTTCCTAAATTCTGATCAAATGATGTTATTAATGATTACACATCCCCACACAAAAAAGTGGCAGGTCCGAAAGACAAGACCATGGTATCCATATGGTTTTGTGATCGCTGAATCCGAATCCGGTGTTCGTTTGACACGATTAGCTCTGGTTTAAGGTCAGTTCAGGGTCAAATATAGAAAATCAATTGTCAACAAACTAAACCAATGTATCGGTACGTTTTTGGGGTCGCTGAATCCGAATCCGGTGTCCGTTTGCCGCGATTTGGTCTGGTTTAAGGTCAGTTCAAGGTCAAATGTAGAAAATCGATTGTCAACAAACTAAACTTACGTATCTATACGTTTTTGGAGTCGCCGAATCCGAATTCGGTGTTCGTTTGACTCGATCAGATCTGGTTTAAGTTCAGTTCAAGGTCAAATGTAAAGCCGTTTATGTTATTCGTATTTGATACTATGTAAGACTATCCTCAAAATATGGCACTCTTGTTTCAATGTGCGTTAGGTTTATAACATCCATGTTGAAGTAATTTATCCAACAATATCATTGTAGTAACCTAAGGAAAATTCTTCATCGTTAGAAAAATATTCCTTATTTCTGTACTGATAGCAAAAGGCTTTCACTTTTCCGTCTTGCTTAGTTTTTTTTTAGCCATGATATTAGGAACTCTGCTCCATTCTCTGCCAGGCCCAAATCTCGAATATCATTTACTTTTTTTTGTGATATTGTTCCTGTCTTTTTCACAACGTGATATGGAATATATTCGTCATCACTAGTATCATTAGCAATATCAGTAATAGTTTCATTGCCACCCAAATTTCTCCCTTCTTTAATACCTTGGTGAAACCTTTCTCTCTGCTCAGACCCAATCAAATTTTTCACTTAGGTTTAAAACCAAAATATTTATATACGTATCTTTCGTATGTTGATTGATCTATTTCTATTAGAAAATATTTAATAGGTATGATCGCTTCAAACGGACATCAAATTCGGATTCAACGGCCCCCAAAACGTATAGATATGTAAGTTTACTTTGTTTTCAATTGATCCTCCACATTTGATCTTGAACTGACCTCAAACCAGATCTAGATCCAGATTCGGCGACCCCATGGGCTAATAACTCCTCAAAGTTGCACTCCTGAGGTATTAGTAGCCCCCAAATTGGGGCCCTGAATTTCGAAAAAAAATAATATCTCTGCAACACTTCACCGCAGAAGAACCAAATTTGGTACATGATTTAGGTTTATTACTGGTTTTCTTTGAGTATGATTTAAAGTTAATTGAAGCTCTAGCAGGTGTTTATGGCTCACACCCAAAATTGTAGCGAATTTTTTTTCATTGACCGAATTGAAAAATAATACTTAATATTAATTGCCTCTGATTGTTGTTGAAAAAATATCAATTATTATTTTTATTATTTATTTGTATTTTTTACTTAATACAATATTCGCTTATTTAAAAACTACCTAGGTACTTGTTTCCTTTTTGTAGAATTAAGAGAGAAGTGTAGTAAAATTTATTTGGCAATTTGTCAAATTTGAAAGATAAAGCCTACTACTGACTTTTCGATTATTTTCTAATGAACACTGTTAAACTCTTGTGCCAGTTAATACGGTTTTTCTTGAAAACCATAAGGTTTTTTAAAATTTAACAAGAGTAAAAAAATTTAAATTAAATTCTGCTTTGAATTAATATTACTATTTTTCGATTCGGTCAATGAAAAAAAAATTCGATACAATTTTATGGGTGAGTCATCCCCAATGAACACTTTGTAGGGCTTCTATTAACTTTAAATCATAGTCAAAGAAGATCAGTAATAAACCTAAATCATGTACCAAATTTGGTTCTTCTACGGTAGAGTGTTGCAAAGATATTAATTTTTTTCGAAATATAGGGCCTCACTTTGGGGGCTAATAACTTCTCAGGGGTGCAACTTTGTTTGGTTAAATTACAATATTTTGGACACCCCTACATGTACCTGTCCTGTGTCGGTTCTTATGCGGGAGACCCTGTTCAGAAAGTGGCAGACTATTCTCACCCAGAACAGGAGATTTATATAAAACTTCTTAAATTAGTGCACAGATGGAGAACTCTTAAGATATCTCACAAAGCGTAGTATTTATTATCTTTATTTAAATGGTTTCTCTAATTTATTTTCAATTTTCAGGAAAAAATGTGTAATTTCATTTGATGGCAATTTTAGGAAATATTTAGAATTGATTTGAATTAGCTTAAGGTCTTTACAGTAAGCAAAAAAATAATAATAAAAAATTCTATGAACAATTCTATTTAGATAGTGTCGTATTCATTTTCACTTTTGAATGGAAATTCCAAACATTTTTGATAGTCCAGTATCTATTTGTTTTCTAATTTTTACGAATGTTACATATATTGCCAAGAAGTAGTACAAGTATAACTTACGATTTAATACTATTTAATGTAAACGTATTAAGGAAATATTGACACATTTTTTATTTCCACAACCTTCTCACCAACTCATATGTCTTTTGACCAATTCTACAATGTTTTCCCTAAGGTAGAACGGAAAAAAGGTATGAACTTTAGCTGTTATGTGTAGTTTTATATAAATGTTTCCATTCTGGTAACATACACCACCCACACACCTTATTGTTTCCTTCATACTGAATGCTGTACATATGTGTATTTCTCATGATGTTATTAGTTTTCCCTGTTGAACAATTATGAACTACGAAAAAGAATTTCATCGCATTTTTTATGTTTCCTTCAGCACGGGGAAGTAAATGGGGAAGATTGCTTGGATCTGCTAGCTTAGACTCGGCTTCGGAGAGTTCAAGCCAGCCACAGGCATTCACAAGAAGCTTGAGCGCCAAAGACCCCAAAGAACGTCCCAGCTCGTCCTCATCAGGTAGCTCTGGAGGTCAGCCTACTTCAGGGTCAGGAAACAAGATCTTTCCCAAGCTTCAAAAGGTATCAGCAACGTCAAGTCCTGGGATTACCAGACAAGACACCATAGACGAAATGGTGGAAGTAGAACAACCGCATCTGAGGAATCTGTCTCTAAGGAAAATGCAGAGCTACGACTGTGGGTTAAGAGACCCATCAACTGCTTCAATGTATCAATCTGCCGTCCCCGAAACCATCGCTCCTCTAGAGTATAAGGAATTAATTACTAATCTCATGGACTTTAAGGTATTTATTCGATTATAAATTTTGGATTCCAGGCGTCTATCACAATTATCAATAAGCAAACAATTTCTAAGCTGTTTGTCACGTGTTTGGTTTATATTTCTTGAAATTTCAAAAGATGTATCACACTCTAGGTTAGAGAATGAGACCGTTGATTCTAGTATTGGTATTTGCTGTATGTACTATTCTATGACGTTTCTACACATTCATTCTAAGCGACTGAGCTGTGATGCTCCAATACTTGATTTTTACATGTGAATCATTACTAAATTCCTTGTACTATTTCTTCCAAGTCCATGGTCAGTTGGTGTCCGGATATTTTTGACTAGCGTAGTTTAGAAATCTTTCCATGTTATACACATGATACTAGATAAATATATCATCAATAGGTATATATGAATTAACACTTTATGGACGTAAATATTGGAGAGAAAGGTAAATCCATTACTTCACCACCAAGGAAAACAAGGTCCATCTGATGCACATTTTTATTTAATCTACAAAATTTTCCAATGATTCTTATGATGTTCTCCATCTTATCACTTTTCTGAACAACAATTTCACATGAACATTATTTGCATATAGGTAAATTTCTTTGACATTGTTAAGAAAATCTTAGCGCGTTTCAAGCGATGTTCTGTCTTTCGCAAGAGGTCTTTAACTCTATACAAAGCGTATCATTCCTTGGAAATGATAAAACGTCGAATCGAAGACTCATCTCTTTCGATCCTGATCTTCCTATACATCAGGTCTTGCAGTTAAGTTTTACACTTTATAATGCAGGTAATAATAAGTTCATTGATTTTTTCATTTACCGTAGTTCTTTAATGGCCTTGACTTTTTTCTCAGGTTTGTTATCAGAGGTTATGAAGGATGTACTAATATGATAGACCGACTCTTAAGAAAATACTTTGTTGTGTACAATACCACAAAAAATAGGGTCAGCTCCTTCTAAGATAAACTGCAAAAAAGACATATAGTCGAGGCAATGAAGCACTAAATAGGCCAAAAGTTCGGAATTTTTTGCACTAAGACGGATCGGAATGCGGTTTTTTGCATTCGCTTCCAAAAAATTTTTGTAAAAAATGTATCTACTTTGTATCTTATACAAACTGGAAATTGCATTGCTGCAGCCAAAAATGCATTTTTTGAGACGGCTTTTGGAAGATTTAATAACTTTGTAAATAAGAGTCAGAACTGGCACAAATCGGGTTCCCGGAGGTTTTCGAGGTCGCTGATCACGATTATGATGTTCAAATTGACCCACAGCCGAGGCCCAGTGCAGGCCCAGGTTCCGGTGCACCAGGTGTTCAGGATGTCGTCTTCGACGTGAAATTTGGATTCAGCGCCCCAAAAAACGCCCCCACAATGATTTTCGGGTTGTTTTTGGCAATCTCGTTAAGAAAACTCTCGGAGATAACGTCCACGTCCAGGTTCCGGTGCACCAGGTGTTTGCCGATGCCATATTTGAATTCAGCGATTCAAAAAACCCCCGGGCGCCGAGTTTCTCTCCTTCCCCGCGTGAATTTTGGGAGAGTCCCACGGAGATGACGTTCATCGGCGTTCCTGAGCTCCAGGTCGGCTATGGGTCAATTTGAACATCACAATCATGATCAGCGACATCGAAAACCCCCGGGAACCCGATTTGGGCCAGTTCTGACTCTTATTTACAAAGTTATTAAATCTTCTAAAAGCCGTCTCAAAAAATGCATTTTTTGAATGCATTTTTGGCTGCAGCATTGCAATTTCCGGTTTGTATAAGATACAAAGTAGATACATTTTTTACAAAAAATTTTTGGAAGCGAATGCAAAAAACCGCATTCCGATCCGTCTTAGTGCAAAAAATTCCGAGGTTGAGTACTTCATTGCCTCGACTAGTACTTCAGAGACCCTGTGCATACAGCAAAGTATGCAATGGACAAATCGGGAAACAATTTACGTACGAAGTGAAAGGAACACAAGTATCACTTAATGAATAGCAAAGACGGAAAATCATCATTTGAGAAGCACAACAAAGTTGTTGCAAGACACTCAACAGACCTAAGTAATATCAACATTCTAGAGAGTAGTAAAAGGAATCGAAAAATATCAAAATATTTTAACCGATATTAGGTGTTACAATTACCTGAAATTTTAAAATGAAAATATGAAAGTTGCACCCCTAACCTTCTTAAAGAAGGGGATTGAAATTCACATTTTAATTTTTTTTCTTTAACATGAGAAATCTATCCTACTAATAAAGACACATCTTTTCAATATTTGTTCGATCATTGGCGTATTTTATAAAGGAGTGAAACAGTCAACCCCGTTGCAATATTTTATTAAAAATGTTTTATATGAAGCAAATTATTTATTTAAAAATATTTATTGGGAAGACTGATTTATTGCGCAACTTTTTTACCTCTTGTAATTTTTCAATAAAACCGATAGTTTTCTAGTGCGAAATTTTATAAAAATAAAGTAGGCGGATGTCATAACAAATAAATTGTTATTTATCATATTAATAAATTGACACTTTCTACCAACCAATAGTAATTAGTACCAATTGATTAATTTATTATCAGAATAATTATGGCAAATCATATTTATACCAATGACGAATATGTCGACATGCTCGAAATGTTTTTCGAATCCAGAAAAAATAGTAACGCTGCAGTAAGATTATTCCACCAAAGATATCCAAATCGACCGATTCCTCATAGACAAACATTGGCCTCGGTGGAAAGAAGGCTTCGCGAAACTGGTAAAATTCAGCCCAATCGTGGGGGTGCCGGAAGAAGGCGTAATGTCCGAATTGTTGAAACTGAGGAAGCTATACTGGGACATCTAGAACAATACTGTAGTACAAGCACAAGATAGGTGTCCAGGCAACTGCACGTTTCTCACAGTCTTGTGTGGAATGTAGCTCATGAAAATCTTTTATACCCTTTTCACCATCAACCCGTGCAAGAATGGAATGACCCTGATTTACCTAACCGCGTGGATTTTTGTCAATGGTACATTAATATTTCCAGGCATGACTTAAATTTCCTAATGAATATACATACTTTTCATCGATGAAGCAAATTTTCTTAGAGTAGCTGCAATAAACCTTCATAATGTTCATTCATGGACGGAAGAAAATACTCATGAAATATTTGTTTCAAGATGTCAACATAATTTCAGTTTAAACGTTTAGATGGGAATTGTAGGAAATACTCTAGTAGGTCTTTTTATTCTTCCACACAGGTTTGGAACGGCCGAGTATCTTAGATTTTTGAACGAAAATCTTCCAACATTACTTGAGGATGTACCCCTCGCTACCGTGAGGTGATGTGGTATATGTACGATAGGGCGCCTGCACATAGTACACTTGCCGTTAGAGAATGGTTAAATTTTAATTAACCGAATCGCTAGATTGGTCGTGGTCGTGATGCTCCTGTTTGTTGGCCTGTACGTTCACCTGACTTAACGCCTATGGATTTCTTTTTGTGGGGACACATAAAAAGTATTGTTTATGCCGCTCCTTTTGTTTTGTTAGAAGAACTACGCTTAAGAATATTTCAGGCAGCAGATGACCTTCGCAATAACCAAGAACTGTTTGTGCGAATGTGCTTCAACAGACGTATTAGGTTATGCTTGTAGCAAAATGGAAATTATTTCGATAATATTCTTTAAATTTAATTTTGCATTTCTTGTTTTTCATTTGTATTAAATTTTATTTCAGATACTTTACCTAAACATGTCCCACTGTCATAAGCTATCAAACATTTTTCATTAATTAATAGCAAATTATTCTAAATGTTATTATTAAATTATTGACAGAAAGTGTCAATTTATTAATATGATAAATAACAATTTATTTGTTGTGACATCCGCCTACTTTTTACAAATTTTCGTAATTACCCCTTTAGTGAACGATGACGCATCTGATTTTTTTTACTACTACTAGGAAACTATCGGTTTTATCGAAAAATTAGAAGAGATAAAAAAGTTGCCCAATAAATTAGTCTTCCCAATAAATATTTTTAAATGAATAATTTGCTTCATATAAAAAATTTCTAACAAAATATTGCCATTAGGTTGACTGTTTCACTCCTTTATAAAATGCGTCAATGATCGAACAAATATTGAAAAGTTGTCTCCTTATTAGTGGGATGCTCATACCAAGTTTTGTGTCTCTAGCATTCCTCATGTTAAAGAAAACAATTAAAATGTGAATTTCAATCTTCTCCTTTGAGAAGGTATATCGCCTCAGGGGTGCAACTTTCTTATAAGGTATTTTTACTTCAATCCTCTTATTTTTGGCTCTATATTCACTGGTACCATTTTTGCTACTTCATTTAATGTATAAACATCTAAAACTAGAGCCTCATAGGAAAATAACTTCCAAACCATGCAACATGGACCAATACATATAGCAAATATAAACATTTAAATGGTCAAAATGGCTACATAAATGTGGTGGCAAACAGCTTGGAAATTGTTTAGCTATTAAACGAAAGCTACTTATTACACCCTTCAATTTATTAACTTTACTTAATATAATATGTAGAAATATTCTGATTATCATGAAATTGTATACCTGAAATATGTTTGTACATATATTTTAAACAAAGATATAGTTTACTGCGGAGAAACCGCTATTAGCAGTTTTTTTGTGAAAAATTAGTGATAAAAAAATCAAATATAAATATGTTTAATTTTTTAATAGAAAACTTGTTTTGGAACTGCTGATTTCACTGTGACATTGTATAGGCAACGAGGATATATCACAATTGTTTAGATTTAACCTGCAGAATTATTCTGAAAGATTTATGTCTTATTCTATATAGTTACAATTCCCCATATATTATTTGGCAAACTTGCAATTCTCTGGTGCGCTGGAATCAAGGACAGCGATTCTCAAAATGTACAAATAATGGACGGATTAAACGAAATTATAACCCATTATTTCTAATTTAAAAAAATAACTTTCCCTTAACTCATCTATATCGCGAATTATACCCATAGTTAAAATATATGTACACATTTATGGTTCACCCTGTATAAATATTATTTTTATGTGGTACTGTAGGTAGACGTAAAACTAGAAATTCAAAAGGTGAATCAAAAAGTCAATCGGATAGAGGAAATGATTTCCGAAATCCTAAAAAGGCTAGGTCCAGAAAGCGGTTCCAGTTCTCAGTCGCCGAATGAAACTGAGTCAAAAACAAAGTCTTCCAACAACACTCCTCCCGAAAGGCCTACCGACTTGTTACCCAGATCCAGTATGTCGGAGGGAACAGGTCTGGGGCCTATAATACTGAAGAAAAGGAGATCAAAAACAAGGATGAAAGGCTCAGCGCCGCAGGCGCCGGCGAGTGGAAAGGTGACATCACCTGACAGTGCCGCTGCAAGTCCAACGGAAACCACGAAGATGCTCGATGAGCCAGTACAAACCCCGTCCTATCGGAAACCCAAGGACTTTCTTTAACAGTAGTGAGATCTCTTAGAACCTAATTTTAAACTGTTAGCCTAGGTCGTGTGTCATTGACATATTTTTGTTTGAATATCTACTGATATTATTGTGCAAATTTTACGAAAACTGGCAAATGGTATACAATTATTTGTCTTTAATTAATTTTGCCTTTCACAGAATTAACAGCAGTATACGTTAGGCTTCATAAATCTTTTTAAAAAATTATTGCAGTTTCAATAATCTAGACAAAATTCAAATCAATCAGTTTCATCTCATGTGTAATAAGTTTAAACATTGTAACATTTTTGGTGTACGTCTTCAGGGTGTTGTAGCAGGTAACTAAAATTGGAAACCATTTCCTAATAAATGAGTCTTAATCTGTCAAGGTCCCCTACACATTCATTAATGTCTGTAGGTATAGTGATAATGTGATCAGTATCTTATTGAGGTATGTTTTCCGAGGATAAAGTTCTAAAGTCAGACTGGGATGTAGCAAAATACAACAATCTCCCATTTATATGTCCTTTATTCAATGGAAAGGTCTTGATGATCATAAAATATTGATCGTAGTAGTACAATGTTACTTTTACTACACGTGGTTTGATAAAATCAGTAGATCTCTAATTTTCATAAAAGCTATTTCTCGACCACACGTAATAAGATTAATCTTCCACTGCCTTGAGCGTCAATCTTTTGTTTAACCATCAAGAACGATTCTCCTTCTGACTTTGGTAGCACTTCCTCATAAGGAATCCTGAATATGTATATCAAGAATTATACAAGCAGACAAAATAAATAAAGTGGGCTAACCTGAAGATTTGAGAAAATATTGCCGGAAAATCGTTAAAAAACCACTTATACCGAAATTTGCACTGAATAAAGATATTTATTTGGACCAGTCCAAATCTTATGCCAATGTATTTTGATACACTGAACTCAGCCTCCTGGTTGCTCCTATAAATAGCAAAAAATGATTGAAGCCCCAGTTTGATAATTTAAAATTCTGTAATCTTGAAAGGAAAAACTTCGAACTACTTCATACAATTATAAAGCATTCTATTGTCCTCGAATGACCTGCAAGGCTTTTCGAACTATTGTTGGGAAATAATAGCTCTTGGTTACTGAAAAGAGAAACTGTGGACTCAACACCCATTATTTCCCATCTACCCTGGTATCTTACTTCAATTTCTTTCACGTGTTGATGAAAGTTTTCACACTGCTCCCCGCTATAATCACCTAAGTTTTGAGGAAAGCAGTTCAGGTGAGAATCCAATACATGAATATTTACATTTATTAAACATTCTAAGTGTTGGTAGTTTCTTTCATTTCTTCCTGAACAATGTCGTAGTCCTGGCTTTTATACCTACCTAAACAGTTTTGAGCCACGTTTAGAGCCACGCTGCTCTCTCAATATCTGTCATTTTTTCGGAATTAAGATCCATCGAAGACAGATATCTTCTTTCAGTTATGCATTATTTAAATTCAGAAATTGATTGGAAACAATTTCCGTTTTTGGGAGCTGAGGAAAGAATACTTTCAAAGGGTCGATCAAAGGTTGCTCCATAACATTGCGACTTGATGGGTTGAATGTTTCTCTTGTGGGTCATTGGGTCTTTTTGTAGTAACTGTTTCGGTCCCATAGATACAAGGAGCAGGGTACTTTATGAACATCTGTATGGTACACCAAAGAGCCGTCATCTTCCTTATTGAAGGAAAATCTTAGACTCTTTAGTTCTGTACCCAAAAATTCATCTTTATCTTTAGAAATCCCTAATTTTTCTGCTGGTACGTATTCGTCTCCACTACCTTCTGTTTCACTCTCTTCCATTTCCGCTTCGACAGTGTCTATGCTACCGATTCTTTCTTTTTCAGATTCCATACTGACTTCGATAACTTCACCATCAACAACTTCTGATCTGCTTACTCGTATCACTGAAGAAACACTTGGCAATTATCTATTTTTCGCGTTAAATTTTAAATGATCAAACTGAGGATTGAAGAATTTCCTTTCTTCAAAATATTTATATAGAGGGAGCCAGGAAGCTTGACCAACATCAGATTCGTCAAAATACATTAGAATAAGACTTGAACAGGTTGAACATAACTTTCTAGATAATTTTTTATTTCGATATTTGTGGTTTTCTACCAATTTTTTCCTATTATTAGATACTTAGTCTTTAACTCATTAAAATACATAAGATTAAGGTTTTATCCGGTTCAATTTTTTTTTTAATTTTTTGATTTTCAGTAATTTTTAGTGATTTACTCAAATCCTGTGGGTTCTGGAGAAAAACTATCGGATTTGGATTGAGCGCTTCAAAATGCATAGGGTCAGTCAATTTTTTTTAGTTTGTATAAAACCTTACTCTATTAAAATAAAATAACAAGCACTTGCTCTTCACGTTTTATGTCATGTATCATATTATTATATCATACCGAAATTATTATTTTTTAAGTTCATATTTTCATTATATGATTTATTAGAACAGTTTCGCGAAAAATGTAATATATACTGCTGCTTTTCATTATTTTTTTATATAAAAAAATTGCAGATCGTCTCTTTTGTACACAGAACAAATTTTGTACATAATAGTAACAATATATATTTGTAGAATTATACAGAAGCTATAATATTTGCAAAGAGTTTCTGCCTTGTGCTCTAAATTACTAAATTGGGAGCTTCTAGTTAATACTCACACAACTAGCGCATAATAATCTCAACACCACATGTATAAGGCACGGAATACTACTTTCGTGATGAAATAGTATACTTTATCAGATTTTGCAACTGAAATATATCTGTACAGTTTACGTTTCTTCGGAAATCAATCACGTTCTTGCTCCTCCGATAAAGTTCTCAGATGATACGGAATTGTTTAACTTATAAAAATGTTAAATTATTATATAAATGTTGAATATTTAAATATATAACAACGAATATATTTATCCGATATTGACTAGATATACTTAGAGAAGAGTTTGATTACAACTCTGAAAACTTTATCGTTCCAATTATTTCACTGTTTCAGTTGTTTAATTACAACAGGACCAATCATAAACTTAAGATGATTTTATAATATAAATTGGTTATTGTACAGAGTGTTATGCAATGCACATAAATTATTAACAACAATTAAAGCTGCGGAAAGTAACACAATGTCTGTATTAATGTTTCTTGCCAAAATCATAGGTATTTTGGGGGCGTCATTGCTTTCACTCTGTACCTTTTCGCCATAAAACAGAACACTTTAAACAGAAAGGCAGTATGAGATTTATCTATTTTTTGTATTATTTCTAATTAGATATATGGATTGTTGAAGAACCGCCAACCTGTTATTAATTATGTACGTTAGTTATTATATAAAATATGTTACTTCTAAATATTATCTAACAAATGTTAAAAGTATTATATGTTATTTGTTGTATATACGAATATATCGAACAAAATGTGATAAAATTTGTTTCAGCCTTATCGTAGTTCATATTACAAATAAGTTAGTTACATTTCATTGGTTTTTGGGGTTCTTCGAACGGAATTTCAATTAAAAACTTTTCTGCCACCACTTCATACAACAAAAATATAGTAACAACTAAGGTACTTATGATTACATAGAATTTATATTAATAGCAATAATATACTGTATATAACTATATGAGATTTTTTTTATTGACTTGTGATATTTCTGAATACATATTGAAATTGGTTGTATGTATTTTTATAACTTATAAATCCAGTTACAAGATGTATCCATGTTGCTGAGATTGCTGCATGTAATGCAGTGTATGTTGTTTTCTTTCAGACTTACTTATTTGAAGAATAAAAGCTTTAAAATTGATGAATTTTATTTTTTCAATTTTACGAAAATGGTAACGAGTTTTTAGAAATAAAAATCTATATACTGCTCTTAAAAAAAAAACAGAACTTTATATTCAAACATGGGCATCGAATTTTTAAAGTATTTATAGCTCTCAAAGACTTTTTGAAAATATTAATTTATCCGTACTTATTAAAACTTGATGTTTCTAAATACGTTTTTATTAGTAGATTTTCAATTATTTTCATCATTCTCCACTTTAAGTTATGCAACCCTCTATACTATAATCTATTCTACCGGCTACGTGCCTCCAGAAAATTTTATAACAGTGATAATATTTATCAAAATTTATATAATTTTTTTTAAGTGTCCAAGTAATACTTTTTTAAAACAGTACAAACATATAAGATCATATTGTAGACACAGAGGAAAATATTCGTTCTTCAAAAAATTAAAGTTATATTAGCACTTCGATAAAATCTATTCAAAATCACTTAATTTAAATGAAATGCATGATAGTAGTACATTATCGTAAGATTATGAAAATAAAATTAGATATCAGATAAAAATACGGGGTGTCCCACGGTGGCGAGACATAGACATCTTTTTACTTCAATTTTAATTTTGAAAATTTGGGCAATAGTATTTTCGAGCATGTCAAAAATAAATGGCGTCCACCTAACGCTTCGGAAGTTGACGTCATTTTTGTTATTTTAAATGGAACATCCTGTATATTATTGCAATTTTGGATTCTACGTCAATTTTTGGATGAACTTTCATAAAGGTTTCCTATTCTTAAAGTTAACCGTTTTTGATATATTTTATTTTTTCCAAAAAAAAATTAAAAAAGCTACCTAATTCAAAAAGATGTTTATTTTACAATAATAAAGTTCGAGCGATAAAAGCTCCCAGCACAAAAGATAATAATATGGAAATTGAACACCGATCAATTTTTATGAAACTTCGTATTTTGATAGTCCTCGTCATGCTGATCAAAAGTCTCAATGGGCACAAAGCTACCCCCAAAGATCAGGGTAATGAACTTGACAGATTACAGGTCAATTGGCATACTGTAATATTTCACTGCTGTAGTCGAACCTACAGACACCTGTACCATAACTAGGCTTAAGACTATCAATTGGCACCGAGCCCAACAACCCCCCAAAGGACAGGGGGATGCACTTGACAGATTATCGGTCAATGCACCGAAATATTTTACTACTGCAGTCGAATCTACAGCCAGGGTTTCACATCCCACAAACAGCAAAAAATCTTATGGCAGGTTTTGGTACTTCCTGTGGGTTAAAGGGTATTAAACAATAAGTTGGGTGTAGGATGGAATTCGAGATTGAACGGTTTCATAAGCTGTAAGCAGAGATAAGTCATGTCAGGCATCGATAAGAACTGGGGTTGGTCCGACCCCAACCGTGGGATTTGGGTTGGAGGTGGGTGGTTCAAATGTCGGGGGTCGGCGTCGGAAAGTATACAGTAGTGATCGTTTAGGTGGCTGTAAGATGGAATTCACGATTAAACAGTTACACAACCAGTAAGCAGGAAAAGTCATATGCCAGACTTTGGTGGGGATGGAGAGGGTTGGGGGGTTAAGTGTTTTGGAGATAGTAGTCTTAAACCTAATTACAGTTTGGGTTTGGGTTTGTGTGACTGCAATAGTAAAATATTTCGGTAGTTTTATTGACCGATAAGCTGTCAAGTGCATCCCCCTGACCTTTGGGGGGTTGGTGGGGGTTGAAGGGTTCGGTGCCCATTACGCTAGTCTTAAGCCTAGTTATGGTATAGATGTCTGTAGGTTCGACTACAGTAGTGAAATATTACGGTAAGCCAATTGACCTGTAATCTGTTAAGTTTATTACCCTGATCTTTGGGGGTGGTTTTGGGGGGTTGGAAGGGGTTGTAGGGCCTCGTGCCCATTGAGACATTTGATCAGCATGACGAGGACTATCAAAATACGAAGTTTCATAAAAATTGACCGGTGTTCAATTTCCATATGTTTTGTGACTTAATTTCATACAGGGTGGCAGAAATTTGATGCCGAATTTAGTCAACTTTAAACCATCTTAACTTATTTCTTTTAAATGGACACCCTGCATATTTTTGAGCAACCTGATGAACAATTTTCTTCACTTTCGAATGGTACAATGGTTCCCGATACCTATCTCTTATGGTTTTTAAGGTATTTACTGTTTTTCGTGCAGTCAACGGATTTCGCATAATTTCTTGCGAGGATGGCTGTGAAATTTTTAGTGGAACTTCAAAACAAGCACCTAATCTGTCACCAGTTTATTGTTGTCCATTTACCACATACAGTGAATATTTAGTTGAGTATTATTTATTGTTAACGAATGGAAAACGTTAACTTTTATTCAAATGCTGACATTCTAAATTTATTATTTATAACCATGGGGCACCCTGTATATGTGGACGAATAATATGCTTGTGAACGACGATTAGGCGATAACTTGTGGAAAAATTACTTAAATTTCGTTATGCATAAAATTTATGAGACAAATAAATTTGTATATTCTTATCCGTTTAAATAATTTTCATTTAAAAGCAAAATGGAAACTAAATTTTGAGTGACTGTAACACACAACACAACTTAGCACAGCTGGTTGCATAAAACTTAAAAATATAAAATATGAAAGCCTTTGCATTCGAAAAGTGTTTAGAAAACATAATTTTAGACCGATGGTAAATTATAGTATACGAAAATGCCTTTGCCAAATCTGTATAGTACCATCTATTCAATTCTAAAAACTGCACCTGTTTTTGACCATGGGGCGTTGATACATTTTTTGTATAGAAATATATGTAACTTGCAAAACAGATAAAGATAATGTGGGTTGCATACCATCGAAATATGAATGCAAGTCTGTTTTGGTTGCGACCGAACGTATTTCAAAGGGGCATAAACAACCAACCAGCTATATAATCAACATGCCTTAATTTATTTTATTCTTATTAATAATTAGTATCGGAAAACTGTAAAGTCAAATAGAAGTTATGAACAAATTGAATACCTCTATTATTGCCAACACTACAAATTCAGCCTTATGGAAATCTAAACCAATAATTAGGCAACACTCATTTATTCCGTTAGATTACAGGGAGGTTATCTTCTTAAGAAAATTATGTTACCTATTTAGAAGTGCCTAACTATTTTCCCATTAAATGTACATTCATCAGCATTTTCAGAAAGTATTTTAGAAATTTATTTTGATCTCTGGTACATCAAAAACAGACTGATTTCAATTGTGTGTTAAAATACGATGGAAAACCGCATACTGCGAAATATGAAATTGAAACGATTTATTTCCGTACAACCAATCAAATAGCGAAAAGCCTTACCGTTCCGCCTTAAATTCATGGCAATCCCACGCCGTACGTACGTGCTGTTAGACACTTCCTAACGGCCTGACACCGGCCGGTACAGCAATGATTCCACACTGACTCAGTATTCTCGGTAAGCGTTCGGCATGTCAATGCAGTATCACAATCCTATACTTGAACACGAACGGGAGGATTCTGCGCGGTATCGTTTGCGTACGTTTTCGGCACAAAGTCTGACATATTTCACAGTCGGTAGGCTGCATTTGTCTATGATGTTTATTAAGTTTTCTGACGAAAAGCAATTAACAATGTCTGTAGAGTTAAAATTAGTGTTGGAAATAGAAAAACATGAATGCCTTTACAATTGCAACCTGGCTGAATATTCTCATAAAGATATAAGGGAAAAGGCGTGGGCAAAAGTTGCGTCGAAAACGAAATTATCAGGTAAAAACTTTTTATTCGCATTTAATACGTATATAGTAATATTCATAAAATAATATTTTGATGAATGTTGTTATCTTGGTCATGAAAGAGACGTTTGAGGTTTAAGAACTCAAGCAGTCATGTACAGGGGTCCGCCAAATATTACTCTGTACTGTCTCTATAGAAAAAGATTAAAAAGTATGAAAACTGTTTAAAGTTTCCAAAGTTGTGAAAATAGTTGAGCATCAAGTTACATAGGTGAGTCATATTCAAATGGTGAATACTATGTTTTAAATTAATAAGAAAAGTTCTTATAAGCATTTTTTGTCCGAAAACACCTCATTTTTCAGATACAGTTTGTTGAAATTAAAAAAAAAACTATAGGACAGTTATTAAATGTCTCTTGAGATGTTTGACGCAGATTGATGGAACTTGGGCTAAGTAGGGACATATATTTACAGGCAAAATTGTGTTGAACTGTTATACAAATAGGGAACATCGTCACTTAGAACTGCAGAATTTCAACGTCACTGAATAAATTTAGTTCCAGTTGGTGTTTCCAACAAAAATTATATATTTTATTTTACTTGAGAAATAAGTCTTATTTTAGTCAATACATTGAAAATTACTCCAAAACTGTTGGTCTCACATAAAGTATGTATTTATAGCAATTTAATGTTTGAAATACAATTTTAAATATATTGTAACCACTAGAAGTCAAGAAAATCTTCGACTTAGCTATTTTAAATTTTTTAGCAGGTTGCCATTCTTCAGAAAATTAACATGTCCTACAGCAATGTTTTTTGAGCTTCGTATATATAATTACGTTTTATTTAAAATTATATTTCTAAAATAAAAACTATATACATTTTTTTGTAGCACGAATAGTATTGGAGTTATTTTCGATTTATTCAGGAATGTCTTAGGCTTATTTTGAATTATAATAAAATATTAATTGAGTAAAAATAATACAATAATAATTGGATATCGTTTTTTCAAATAAAATGATTAATATCTATTACTTACATAATAGCTAGGCGAAATTAAATACACTTATCCAATTTTGAAAATATTCAGTGGCGTCTAAATTCCAGGGATCTTAATGTCGCTGTTTTCTGTCATTGGTTGACCGATTCATGTGTCTCCTCAACAAATTATTGCCTGTAATTAGTTGAAGTTTCATCAATCTTGATTAGGCATATTAAGAGATATTTAAATAAATGTGATAATTTTTCGGTATCGTGTATATCGAATGAAGTTTGCGGACACATTATCGGAATCCTTTTTATTGATTTGTGACGTAGGGTCCACCATTAAAGTTTGACAAGATATTTTATTAACACCCTGTGTATATCATATCCGAAAAATACATCAAAATACTTCTTTTGACTTTTAAAGATTAAATTGTATTTAAAATTGTATCTAATAAAAAATTCCTATAATTTTCTTGTGAAACCTATAGTTTTGAGGCTATTTTCGATCTACATATACAACTGTGTCGTTGGCTTATTTAAATAAAAAAGATAATAATAACTCGAAAAAGGTACATTTTTGTTAGAAATAAAATAATCAATTTGCAAAATACTCAGTGGCATCGAAATTTTAGGGTTCCTTGAAAGTGTTTCCTCCGCCACTGGTTAACAAATTTTTGTACCAATTCAGCAAATTTCTGCCTAAAATTTGATATTTTAAGGGATCCTCCCTGCTTTTAATTTTGATTACAAAAATTTTACACACTGTAAGACTAATATTTTGTTTTAATGGAACACCAAGAATTACATATTTAGATCTTATGATTACTGTTATACAAGGTTTGATAAGTCTACTCTATTAATAAGGGAGATATGGCCAAAGGAATGTGCAATAACCATGTTCGAAAGAAATTATTACTTTCCATTTGCTGGGCAACCAAGTGTCTAACAAATTCTGCATCTGGCGCACTCTTTCGGCCATACCTTTATCTACCTTATTATTAAAAATACATATTAAACCTCTGTACCTCTGTAATTCGTTCAATTGTTTTCTCAATTTAGGCATCTGCTCTTATATATTTTCTAATATACTTATTAAAAAAATAAAGGAGAAGTGGTGGTACCTATAACAAAACTGTCAGAAAAGGAATTCATTATTCTTATCCAAAAAAAAAACAACTTAACATCGCACTTCTGAAATATGCTTCCAATTTTGTATTTTTCTATAGAACACCATTTCAACTCGCAAGATTAATACCTATAACAAAAAAAAATACGTACTAATAAATAAGTAAATACATGTAAGTGAATATAATATGGACCAATTGATTTTTTTTTAGTAAATGAATGCAAGGAAAAGTGGAGAAACGTCAGATCGTCTTTCCTGAGAAGTTTGAAACCACCTCTATGCGGATCAAAAACGAAAAAGCCGTATTATTTAAAAGAATATTTACAGTTTATATTACCCTTCGTTAAACCGTTAAGTAACGTAGAAAGCTCAGGTGATATTCCTGAGTTTGAATTTGCAAATACGGATTCAACAGATTCAGTAGACGTTACTAATGCCAGTCTCAGTGAAGATGCAGACACTGTAGACATCAAAATTGAATCAACTACTTTAACATTACCAGAAGAAGAACGATCAACCCGTTCTCGGCCTCCACCTCAAACAATGAGTCATCGTCGCAAACGTTCAACGCCCGATGATGAAGAAACTTTCTTAGATTACTTGAAAAATAAATCTAAAAGATATCACACTGAAGAGACAACGAACCAAATTTGTAAAAATGAGTCTATTCGTTACTTTCTACTCAGTTTGTTACCCGAATTTGAAACAATGACTGATGACCAAATAAGAATGTTTAAAATTAAAGTTATGATGCTCATCAGTGATATGAAGTCAAAGCCAGATCAAGGGAGAAGTAGTCCATTTTATTCAGATTCGTGAACTATACTTTGAATCTTAAATTAGTTAGATGTAAACCAAAATAGATAATAATGAAAATGTTAATACGATAAATTAAATAAAAATGTATTTTACTATATCAGTTCTTATATGTTTACCTTTATATACCGGGTGATTCAGTTTGATATTCGCGCCTTCGTATCTCTTTTATTTTGACAAATATTAACCATTAATTTTTAAATCGCCGCTCAAACTCTATCTAAATATGTCAAAATTGCTATAGTCAACTGTTTTTATTCAAATGTCACACTATATATTTTTTCATCAATTCTGGAAGATATTTTTTTCTACGTTCAGCTATATAAGGAAGTCTATAGTTTCATTAAAAATATTGCTAGAAAAACAGCAAAATGATTAACCTTACTTTCAGTAGCTTTATTCTGAAAAATGATAGCCAGCTGCGGAAACAACTGAATTTTGACGTTTCTAAATAACGGTTTGTCAAAATAATTGACATTTGGTACCTACCTATTATATCTATAACTAATTATAACATGAATACTTATAGTAACCAAGAAAAAGTAGATATGATATTAATTTATGGAGACGGCCGAAAGAACGCTACAGCTGCCAGGTATTGATACCAACAACGTTTTCCGTAGAGACAACTTCCATCAGATAAAATATTCGGAAAGTTATTTTGGAATTTGGCGGCAGATTGAAGTTTTCAAAAGAAGAGTTTTTAAACACAGAAGGGCAAGAGATGAAGAACATTCGATAAAGATGTTAAATGGCCTGCTAGATCTCCTGATCTCACTCCTATAGATTTCTTTCTTTAGCCTTACCTAAATAATATTGACGACCTTAAAAACAGAATAAAAGTAGAATGTCGGAGATTAAATAAAGAAACTCTAGAATGTGTTTGTAGAGAGGGAGTGATAAACAGAGCTATTCTGTGTTTGAAGCAAATTTGAAGTCATTTTGAACATTTGAAATAAGTATTGTTTTAAATTGTTATATTATTATCGTATTAAAAATAAAATGTGTAAAAAACATAGTAACTTGTTTCCGCAGCTGGCTATCATTTTTCAGGATAAAGCTACGAAAAGTAGGGTTCATCTTTTTAGCTGTTTTTCAAGCAATATTTCTAATGAAACTATAGACTTCCTTACATAGCTGAATGCAGAAAAAAAATATCTTCCAGAATTGATAAAAAAAATATATAGTGTGCCATTTGAACAAAAACAGTTGACTATAGCAATTTTGACATATGTTACCATGGAGATGATCTAATAATGTCATTTAATGGAGTTTGAGAGGCGATCTAAAAATATATACCTGTATGTTTGTTATAGCTATTTATTAAAATAAAAGAGACACAGGGCCGCGAATGCCAAACTGAGTCACCCGGTATAATTAATGAGAGAGCTCCAGTACGTTATAGCATCGATCAAGCAATGGATCTTATTCACTAATCTCAATATGATGCTTAACGAATTGTTAGGTACTCATTATTAGAAGGGCATTAAATGATTATTTATATCACATTTTCTAAATCGAAAGTACAACAACAATAACACTTCTATCATATTTAAATTTCCAGCCAGATGAGACCAATGAAATAACCAGCGGGCTTGTTGCTCCAAAATTGTTAAAACTGCATTAATAGTGGAAATTATTATTGAAATTGAATGTTATCCCTATCCTTATAAAATAGCATCGCTCGAGATTGTGTTGACTAATTTGACGACATTGTTCTACCTCTGCTCTTGGTTGGTCAATGAAGCCATGAGAGCCTAACGTAATTTTTCTGTGATTTTGAAACTTTAGACTTATTTTTCTACGGTGTATACTGATTAAAAGTGAAATTAAATACTAAAAATTGAAAATGGGAAAAGTCCATAGAATCGCTGTTGCACCGATTTGTTAGGAAGCGACCTAAGGTTGAATTGTTTTCAGTGAGACACTATAATCCATCTAAAAATCATAAACGATACTAAGAAAAGACTGTCTCTGGGCAGGCATATTGTTGTCTATTTCCTAAATTTCCCATTTGGTTAGGAAAACTACTGTTCAAAAATATTGCAAATAGTATTTTTGCATCCACTTCATATTTTTTTTTACAAAATAACCTGTAAAACATAAATGTTTTTTGAGTTGCTGGAACAGTCAAAATAAATACATGTGGTAAATGTCATTTAGAAAAAAGGGTATCGCTTACTTCTTAATACCACAGTTAGGAAAGATTAGGTCGTCTGTGGTAATTCTAAGACAGTGTACTACAGAGACATCTTGATTCGTAGCTATAACCTGTAGCGTAGCTAATAAATTAACCGTGTTTTATTTAACTGAGATCTTAGCTATTCTGAATGCTATTCCTATTAGGTGAAATTAACTAAGATCTCAGATAAATAACAAGTTATTTATCACTATCGTTGAAAAAATTATTGAAATTTATTATACATTATTGCGATTGTATTTTGTTGCCAGATGATGGACAACACTTCGGGACCATCGTGAAATAAAGGCAAAAACAGTCACCTAGATCAGTTGAAATATGCAGGGGGTGTTTTTTAAGTACTTGTACGCTCTGTATCTCAAGAACAGAAAGAAGAAGGAACAAGAGAAAGTTAAGTGTTTATAAAATTTTGAAAGAAGAAAAAACATTATATGGAAAAGTACAAAGGCCAAAAAAGCAGAGGTCGACGAAAAATAAAAGTGCATGTAAGCGGAAAGCTGCTACTGCATTTTGTCTTGTTTCATCGTAAATTAAATCAGCATCCTTTAATTTTGCTTTACTATACACACTGGCTACTCTTAGTAGGTACTTATAAAACTAAAATGTAAAACATAAACCAGATTACTATTATTATCAATAAAAATATTCATATTACCAAGGTAATATGAATCCTCTTATTGAAAACCACAATAATATTTTAATAAACACGACACAGTCGTCCAATTACGTAGTGTTTTTATTTTATTTATTTTATAATTTTTTTTTTTTGGTGATAACCGTTCTAGTTTTAAAAGCGAACTTTTCTGACCCAAATTTCTACCATTTTATGTTTAAAAAACTTTTTCTTATCTTCTGTTAATCATTACTGAGAAGGCTGAAATACTTATTTCCCGTCTTTTCTTAAAATATATATCTCTTTTTCTCAAAAGGGGAAGCAACAACTGAAGTGTGAACAGTGAACGAGGGATGAAAATTTTACACGCCCTTACAGACATAAAGCTCAGGGGTAGAACTAGGAAGTGTACCAAACAAGTTAATGACCTTAAGTGATCTTAAACGAAAAAGTCTATTATACTGGCTTATCTTGGGTCAAGACAAAAAAATTTAATGTGAACACAAGATGGCTTTTGTAATTTAGAACATTGTTTATCTTTGTTTTCCGTTTTCAAGTGTACATTTTTTATAAAGACAATTTGAACAGATTAAGAAATCTGCTAGAAAATATAATATAATTTGTTAAGTATGTGATTAAACTTACCCTGGTAAATTTTAAAAAATAGATGCTTCAAATTATGTATACGGTTTTTAAAAAAGTGTTCCATCGTCCGATAAAAGATTGGATAACAACTTTAGTATTTTAAATGAAATTTCGGCTATAATGGTCAGTTTCACAATTTTTTTTTGATATGTTCAGGAAAATATAATAAGTTCATGTATAAAAATTTTTTAAGCAATTTTAGTGACGTATTTTATTTTCGTATTCTTCTCAGCAAACCCTTTCATTTGATACCCATATCATGGGGGTGCATAAAAAATAACTGGTCCGCCATCTTTGGGAGTCCGGCATATTGGATTGAGAATGACGTCACTTTCCTAACCATGTATTGTCATCCCAACTAAAAGTGTATGCAAAATTTCAGCTCAATCGGTTGGGGATAACTGTTTTAAAATTCAATTTCAAGATTTGACCCATACTGACAATGCAAGTTAAATAAAAGCTTGTAACAATGAATAATTTTCATACTACATAACCTTACATGTTATAAAGAAAAAACGATGATAGTGCAAATGAAATTGTATTTTTCAACACTATGACAGTAAATTAGATTCTTTTATTAAAGCAATTAACTGTCCTTAATTGTGTCATCAAAGTAGTCGGTAACAATACTTTTTTCAAAATTATTTTAGTAAATTTTTGTCTCTAGTGAAACTTTCTACAGATTTTTAATGCTGAACTGTGATAGGGCCTTCAAACAGATTTACATTATATGGTGTTAAAGGCGTTTGGAAGATGTTCCTCCTTGAAATGAAGTGGAATTTGCCTACGAGGTTGGTACAGAATTTTCTAAACACCCTGTGTAATATATCCACATAAAAGAGGGATAAGATAAATTGCTTTTCAAAACATTACCTGAAATCAAGTATACCCCTTAATTTGTTAGGAGGAAGCCCCTATTAATTAGGGTCGTTAAACTGCGCGATCCCCTCGTCGAATTAAACATGTATATGTACAGTGTGCACCCCTTAAGAGGGACATTCGTTTCTAGCAATACTCGTGTTCAGGTTTTCTTTGTATGTATGTAACAAGCAAAAGGCACCTAAGGTGTTAAAAATTAGATAGAAATTTTGATAATTTCAAAAAATTTAATTTGCACCAGATTGGATAGAACACGAAATTGTCAAGTAATAGAAAAATTATAAGGAAACCTATAATACTTGTAGAAATAAGTTTGGAATCATAAGAACGCAGTGAATTACAAAAGGCAATGGAGCATAAAGCCATGAACGAATCAGAAGATAACCTTTGAACTTGCAACTACTCTTAACTCCTCAACTTAAAACCTTCAATTACAAAACGGAGGATGCGCAATACCTCCTGCACCTTACATCAGAAAATAATACTAGGAAGTAGGAAAAAGGTGAACCAATATTCCTAGAGATAGTCACGCGTCATTGAAGAAATTGACAAATCCGAACGAATACCTGAAATACGGAGTAGGCAATTGTTGAAGGTAACGAAAAACCTGGAGAACTAGAACAGCTTTACATTGGTCCGTTACCAGCCCTGGGAGTACCAAAAACCACAGTACGAGGCCAAATGAGGGAATAGGCTAACAAACAGCATAACAGATACTGGCACAACTTTCCCAGGAACCAACATGGTGAGATCTTCATCAAAGAACCA